CCATCTCACCATGTGACCCATGGAGCTTGTGGAATGACACACACTTCTGCCACCTTTGGTATTTCTGTGTTTAGGCTTAAATAATAAAATCAAACCAACTCTCCGTGGGAGGTGGCATTAGAGACACCATGCCCCTGTTGGTAGAAGAATAGCTTTGGGGTTCGGTGCGAAATTTCACTTTTAATCAGGGACAAATGAACCCACTGTGAGTCTAAATTGCTGTCAGCTTTCTTGGTCAACCATGAGTGCAGGAAAGCTGGTCGAGCTGTCTTACTGAGAGACTGCTGTGCCCATGACTATGTCTGTGGCCCCTGAAGAATTTGAGTTGGCTGTTCTCAAACAGCTGAGTTCAAGTTGGGTGTCTTCTTGCTGCATCCGATGGAGATGGGGGTTCAATAGCAGCAGTGTGCCACAGGCAGAGGTCATTTCAAACTTGGATGTCATTAGATGCCATGGGGCTGTCATGGAAGTGGGAGCAGGATGATCAGAAGAGCCATGGGAGCAGGAAGTTTGCTCCTGGAAATATCAGGGAAGCTACACCCATGAAATCTCACCAACATGGCTTCCTAAACAAGACCCGAACAATGAACTGTGTTGTAGATGTATCAGTTGGGACTGGACACCACATTGTTTCTCGTCCTCTTCATTTGATTAATTATGGTTTTCTATAATGGTCACTGTCTGTCTATAAGAAGTTTCTCTGATTAGGTGTTAGAACTACACTTATCTGTTGGTATCCTTCCTTTTGTGCCATGGAGCAATGTTGCCTGAGTCTTAACCTGGCCACATGTTGTGACTCACTTCTTTGCTTCCTGGGCATCCCCCACACAGAGGTCATTGAGATTACCTCTCATCCCCTCATTTTTCTTGCTCTGTGGTCCAGAGATTTTCTGTAGACAGGATGGGGAGCCCCGAGGCCTCCTCCAGACTGGATCTGGGTGTTTTCTCATCTGTCAGTTTACACAATAGTCTCCTGTAAGGGTCTCTTTTGAGAAACATGTTCTTAAAATGCTGAAGACATGGCCTACAGAAGTCTGAACACCTCTGGATCTTCCCCCTGGGGGCCTCCTGTCCCCTTCACTCCTAGACATGCTGCAGTTTTCCGCACTCGTGTGACCCTCTTAGGACTTGGGCCTCCATTCTTTGAGTAGCCCACTTCCATGTTTGTAGAAGCCATGTCTTCTTGCTCAGCCTTAGGAGTATCTAAGTATCTTAGGAGTATCTAAGGCGTGGAGCCTTTGCCAGTCTGATTCTGGAGGAAGGTGGCCAGCAGGCTTCCTGCTCTGTGTTGTCACCATTCCTCAGGTGTCTTGGTTTCTTTTTCAGTTTCTGTGATAAAATACACAACATAATCTACTTGAGGGTCAAAGGGTTTATTTGGCTCACAATTCTGGGTTACAGCCCATCACTGTGGGGAAACTGAAGTAGCAGGAACATGAGGCAACTGGTCACATGACATCATCAGCCAAGAGCCACAAATGCATGCAACTGCTCAACCGTTGAAGGAGCTGCGGGCTGCGTTCCTGCCACCTGGCTCCCGGCCGCCTGGCTAGCTTATGCCCTGAAATAATTACATGGAAAGTGTATTCTTTTAAACACTGCTTGGCCCATTAGTTCTAGCCTTTTAATGGCTAATTCTCACATCTTGCCTAACCCATATTTAGTAATCTGTGTAGCACCAGTCTTACTGGGAAAGATTCATCATGTCTGACCTGGTCGGCTTGCTTCATCGCGTCTGCCCTGGAGAGGAGAGGCATAGTGTCTGCCTAACTTCCCTTCTTCCCAGCATTCTGTTCTGTTTACTCCACCCACCTATGTTCTAACCTATCAGAGCAAGCAGTTTCTTTATTAATTAACCAATGAAATCAACAGATTGATATATGACACTCCCACCTCACTCAACTTGCTTTTTCTACAATTACACAGTTGAGGTCTCCTGCCTAGGGAATGGTCTCACCTATAGTGGGAAGGTTTCCCACCTCAATTAACTCAACCCACATAGTCCTTGCCCCACTGCCAACTGGATCTAGCCAGCCCCTTACTGAGACTCCCTTAGGAGCTGATTTGAGAATCTTCCAAGTTGTTAATTTGCCATTACACTGGACATCTCTTGAAGGTGACCTTGGTCAGACACATTTTTTACTTGCCTTCTTACTTTCCCCTATTCCAAAGCAACTCACAGAGGAGAAGCCCATCTCACCCATCTCTATGCTCCCAGAACCAAGCCAGGCACAGGACCCTAACAGGCACTGCCAGGCATTCAACACCAAACTATGCAGAATGTGCCCATTCACCAGCAGTTCACCAACAAATATGGGTTGGAAAAGCCAGCCCTGCCAAAGTGGTAGCAAGATGGGAGGGGGCTTGACTATTAGAGTTATTATTAGTTGAACTCAAATTATGGGTTCTGACAGTTAGTATTGATTGTCAGTCTTTGTCAACTTGATGTAATCTAGAATCCCCTGGGAGATAAATGGGTTTCTGAGCATGCCTGTGAGGGACTATCTTGATCAAGTGAAATAATACGGGAAGGCCCATTTTAACTATGGGCAGAACCATTTCCTAGGCAGGGCATCCTGTCCAGCATAAAGCGGAGGAAGGAGCTGAGCCCCAGCCAGCATGCGTGTATTCAGTACTCTCTGCTTTTGGAAGGTGGATACAAGGTGTCCAGTTGCTTCAAGCTCTTAGTGAGCTGTCTTCCCCACCAGGACTAACTTAAATCGTGCTCTGAAATAAACCCCTTCTCCCTTAGGTTGTTTGGTCTGGGAATTTTATCACTACCATGGGAAAGGAAACTAAGAAAAACAATTAATTAAAGGCCCTAGACAGCTGGCGTGTCCTTTAGAAAGTTGGGCTAACCCTGCATAATGATACACTCTGGGCAGTGTTAATTGGGTCCTTTGCAGAGAAGACATGGTGTGGTCTCTTTTAACATGAACACACTGTACAATGGAATCAGGGATCTAGGTTTTGCCCTTTAGTCTCCCTGGACTCAGTTCACACAAGCCAGTAGGATCCTTTTAGAGGTGAACAAGCTAGTGACACATACCTACGAAACAGGTGTGGCTGCCCTGAGGCGCTCTGTCCTGCCTTCTTATCCCATTGCTTCCTCCCTGCCCAATCTGTGGCTTTGCCAATAGGTTGTGTGTGCTTCACACAGGATGCTGGAATGGGAAAAGAGGGAAAGAATGAAATTTATGATCACATCACATTCTGTGAACCAAGTAAAGTCCCCCTCCCCCACATGCTGCTTAGTCCCAAATTCTTTTTACAGGCTAAGCTGGAATTCTCTCTGCTAAAGTGCTCCCTCCTGTGGTTTTTAACACAGTCACTGGTTCTCCAACCTCTGCTTCTGGCCAATTCCAGAGTGTTCCTATTGACTCCTTTAAAAACTTTTCTTTGGCCGGGCGGTGGTGGTGCACATCTTTAATTCCAGCACTCGGGAGGCAGAGACAGGTGGATCTCTGTGAGTTCGAGGCCAGCCTGGTCTACAAGAGCTAGTTCCAGGACAGGAACTAAAAGCTATGGAGAAACCCTGTCTTGAAAATAAAAAAAAAAAAACAAAACTTTTTTTTGTTGCTAACGGTTTTGTTTTGGGGGTTGGATCTCATTCATTCTATAGTCCAGGCTGGCCTGGAATTCACTACGTAGCCTAAGTTGGCCTCAAACTCTCTATCATCTTCCTGCTTCAACTTTCTGAGCAATGGGATTATAAATGTGAGCTGTTATAGATGGCTGTCTGTTGGCAGTAGTTTCTGTCCTGCCCTGTCCCACAGCTGTTCAGTCCCAAAGAAACACACAGAGGTCTACATTAATCACAAACTGGTTGGCCTATTAGCTCAGGCTTCTTATTAACTCTTGCATCCTACATTAACCCATAATTCTAGTCTGTGTTAGCCACGTGGCTTGGTACCTTTTTATCAGCAAGGCATTCTCATCTTGCTTCCTCTGCGTCTGGGTGACAGCTTCAGACTGAGCCTTTCCTCTTCCCTGAATTCTCCTATTCTGGCTGACATGCCTCTTCTTCCTTCCTGGCTACTGGCCAATCAGCATTTTATTAAACCAGTACAACTGACAAACCTTTACAGGGTATAAGACCATTGTCTTACGGCAGCTGTCATTCTCTGTGTGTGTGTGTCTCTCTCTCTGTGTATTTCTCTCTGTGTGTGTATGTCTCTGTGTGTGTCTGTGTGCCTGTGAATACCTATCAGTGCATATTCCGAATCCAGAGGAGTCGAGCCTGTGTCTTCCTCTATCACTCTTTCCTTTGTTGCCCTGAGACAGGCTCACTCATCCAGTTGGCCAGCCAGCTCCTTTCCATGTCCCCAGGGCTGGGGTTATACATACACACTGCCGTGCTCACCTTAGTTTTTAAGTGAGTGCTAGGGACTCGGACTCAGGTCCTCAGCTTGCACAGCAAATGATCTTACCCACTGAACCATCTCCCTAGGCCCCATCTTGGGTTTTTGAGACAGGGACTCTCCCTGGCCTTGATTACAAACAATTTGGCTAGACTGGTTGACCAGCAAGTCTCTGCCTCCCCAGTGCTGGGATTACAAACTCATGCTACCATGCTCAGTTTTATGATGTGGGTTCTAGGGATCAGACTCAGGTCCCATGCTTGTCATCAAGCCTTTTACTAACTGAGCCATGGGCCTGGTCCCAAAATTTATTCTCAGTACTTAAAACCTTTGACATACAAGCAGGACCCAGGTCATGATTTACTTGACTTGTATCTCTAATTAACTTCTTCTTTGAAAATATTTGTAATCTTTTGTTTTTATGTAGAAGGGCGTGTGTCTATGCACTGCATTCATGCAGTGCTCCTGGAGGCCAGAAATGGGCGTCAGATCCCCTGTGACTGCAGTGACGGTGACTGTGAGCTGCCATGTGGGTGCTGGGAATTGAACCCAGATCCTCTGAATGAGCAGCCAATGCTCTTAACCAGGGTTCCACTTCCCCAGCCCCTCTAATTAATGTCTAATGTTTTTGTTTTTCAGATTCCAATAATGAGAGACCCTGGGTGGATCCGGAATGTGTGGCCTTCCAACATTAATGTGAGTGCGGTGGCTATAAAATGTTCATGTGTTTTCATATGACAAGATTAAGTCTTGTCACAGTACAGCCTCCTGCCTTGGGCAAGCACAGTCTCCAAAGTGGGAATTCGTTCAATGGATGCTTCCAGAGCTCTCCCTGTGTTTCATAAACTCTGCCCAGGCAGCTAACCGTGTCACCTGGTTTCTCATCTCTCCTCTTAACCCACCAGCCTCCAGACACGGACGGGATTTTACCATCTCCCCAGTTTAAAAAGCATCTGAAGGTTCATTAGTGGAATGGGAGAAGTCATGTCCTTGGTTGCCTTTGACAGTGGTCCCTGGCTGTGGTCAGAGATGTCTACTAAGAGCTAGTCCTGAGCTTTGCACGGCTTCCTCTGGGTCCTGTTGTGGATCCCTTCCTCCTTGTAGCTGGTCCAAGCCTAGGTCCCACCCCCTTCCTGTCATTTCTAGGATTACACACTGGCTTTGTTCTATCTGACCCTGAGTCTGTCTTTGTGGATCTTCCCCAGACCCCAAATTCTGGAGCCTGATGCCCATCCCATCCTCCGACTCCTCTGTTCATTCAAGGCCTCTTGGACTTTCTCCTTATGTTTTGCTGGGAAATGTATCTGGTCTGATACCTCCAAAGTCTTTTCCTTAGCATATAACCCCTTTGTGTTGGTGCTTAGTCTATGTTTCAATAGATCATACAGCACATTACATACAGCCCATAGTTCTTTGGATTTGAGGTAGAGAGGCTCTTGGGTGGTCAAAGGAAGAATCAACTCCTAAGGTTTATTTGACTCTGCTGTGGCTTGTTTCTACTTTGAGATCATAAAACAAAAATATTACTTTGGTTCTGCCTTTAAAGAACTCAAACACTAAAGGGCTCAGGAGAAAGGTGTAGACAAAGGCTTGCAGAGGACCTTAGAGGCTTAGAGAAGTGCCTGACAAAGCAAGGAATTTATTTTTGCATTGATCCTGAGGCCCCAGTGGAGCAAGCAAGGAAGGCTGCTTAAGGAGACAGAACTCCGGGGACTCTGTAAGGGCTGAAGTTCTAAGTCTAAGCTGTAGACAGGAATGGGCCCAATGAGAGGCCAGGAAGCCTGGGGAGAGGGCAGTTAGTGGCAGTTGAGCCCAGAATGGGGAGCCAGTGTTCTGTGAGAAGGGGCAGGAAGTTTCTGGGTAAGCAGTGCCTCTTTCTGTGGGTGGCTGCGTAGGCCAGTGGTCACAGAAGTAGCCTGACGTTGCTTCCTGTGGCCAGCTCCCAATTCTGCAGACCCTGGGGTAGAAGCCATGGCTACCAGGTTTCCAGCTCACTTCTGGCCCTGTGTGCAGGCCATTGGTTGTGGTTCAGAGGAGAGTCAGGTGAGGGAAACAGCCCACTCGCCCCAGCTACGGCACCCTTCCCAGAACTAACTCATCCTAACAGACCAGGACAGAGGGAAGAAGACACAAATGGAATATCCTGCTTTAAAAGGGCGAAATTACAGAACGCCATCATCACTCGTGGTAGAGGATGAAAGCCCAAGCTTGTGGCTGTTGCGGTATGTGCTACTTGCGGTATGTGAGAGAGATCCTGAGCGAGATGCCTGACAGAGCAGCAGCTCCTGTGTCCAGTAGGCGCTCACTTGATCCCATACATTTAGTGCTTGCTGTCTACTGCAAGCCTCCGCAGTAGGAGAGAGATGGGGTGGTAACAGCTTGTCTGAGGTGAGTGAAGACAGTTTAGGAACAATCCTAGAGAAAAAGCCTCCAACATAAGGTAAGTCTTCTGGGGAACAATGGAAGAGCCCTCACAGTTGTCTGAGCATGAGGTAAGAGACAGGGGGGAGGGGTGGCAGGCGCAGATGCTCAGCTGAGATGAGAGAAGGACTCATCTGGTCTCCTAGGGTGTTTACCTAGGCAGACTCTCCTTTGCCTCCAAATTTGATTAAATCTCTCTTTCAGTTGTGATGATTTTGGGCATCAACTTCAAAGGATCTAGAGCCACCTGGAAGAGAGTCTCAGTTAAAGATGGTCTAATCAGGTTGGCATGTCTGTGGGCATTGTTTTGACAGCTATGTTAATTGATTTGGGAAGATCCAGTCCACTATGGGTGACATTATTCCCTACTTAGGGGTCCTGAACTGTGTGTTGGGGTCCAGCCTCGACGGGGTTTGCACACTCCACGGTAGTGACATGTGGATTAGAAATATTACATAGGAGGAACAGAGATGTGAAAGAAATACCTAGACATAGGAAGAACTGGGAAGGTAATCTAGTGATAATGAATCCACCTGCGTTTATTTTCCATGCGCTCATATACTCCAATCCAAAGAGGGAGAAAGAAGGCAAAAGACTGCTTTTGCATGATCCAAAGAACAAACAAAGCAATTGCTTGCTTCAATAGTTGAAGCATCAAGCTACTATACCCTGAGTTAAGCATTCCATTGTTCAGGCAGGACATGCAGCAACTACACCTTAGACCAAGCATTCTGTAGGCAGGCACTCCCTGGGTCAAACTTACTTACTTACTTACTTACTTTCTTTCTTTTTAAAATATTTTTGTGGTTTATTTAACTTTATTTTATGTGCATTGGTATGAAGGTGTCAGATCCCCTGCAACTGTAACCTCAGACAGTTGTGAGCTGCCATGTGGGTGCTGGGAATTGAACCTGGGTCCTCTGAAAGAGCAGTCAGTGCTCTTAACCACTGAGCCATCTCTCCAGCCCCATGGGTCAAACTTTCTTATTCTTTCATATTCTCGAAGGAGAAGGGATAGGTTTGAACTCTCTGACCTCTGTTTGTGGTGGAACATATCCACCTTTGTGGGCCATCTCAATACCCCAAACACCTAGTAAGGTCAAGATATCTCGTTTGGAGCCGCACCTTAAGCCAGCCCTCTTGTCAATAACTTCGGAAGAACAAGAGTAGGCAGAACTCACTGCCCTTTAGCCAAGGGGGAGCAGATAAACTTCTGTGGGCCCCCACATATTCAGTCAAGATGGAACAGACACATGTCGGTGGGCCCCCACAGTGTGTAAGAGGAGAGGAAGTGAGCCAGGTATGCGTATGTCCGTTCTTTCTCTGATCCTGGTGGTGGATGTGTGGAGTTGTGTCAGGTCCCTGCCCCGACTTTCCCACAGTGATGGACTGCCAGCTGAGACTGTGAGCAGCAGCAAGCACCTTCTCTTCTGGGTTGCTTTCGTCAGAGTGTTTTATTACAATCACAGGCACGAAACTAGGAAGCAGGCGAAGACGCCCCTCTTGTTTCCAATGCTGATTTTTTTAAATTCTAAAAACTTGCGTTTTGCACTGGCTCGAGTCATCAGGGAGGATGCAGCCTCAATTCAGAAAACACCTCCATGAGATTGGGATTCTTAGTGATTGGTATGGGAGGGCCCAGCCCATGGTGTGTGGAGCCACCCCCCCTGGGTTGGTGGTCCTGGGTGCTATAAAAAAGCAGGCTGAGCAAGCCATGGGGAGCAAGCCAATAAGCAGCACCTATCTATGGCCTCTACATCAGCTCCTGCCTCCAGGTCCCCCCCCCCCCCGACTTGAGTTTCTGTTCTGACTTCCTTTGATGAGGAACAGTGCTGCAGAAGAGTAAGCCGAATAAACCCTTTCCTCCCCAAGATACTTTGGTCACTGTGTTCCATCGCAGCAAATGTCACCCTGGGATGCTCCTTTTGAAGTGAAGGGAACACAACACATGTTGGCTGTCCTGCTACTTCCTACTCTGTGGCTTTTTCTCCTTGCCAGGCATTGTGAGTGGAGTCCTCTCAGGTATCTGCTGATAGCCACGTGCTCTTATCTAGACACACACTGTGTGGCTTTCATATCCAGTTGCTGTTCTTCCTTAATACCGGTTTGTGGGGGTGTTGATTAGCGACGGGCACTAGCACAGTCATTACAACAATAACCTATTTAATTACAGCCTCACACGGCACAGAACTTTCAACTGAGTGACAACTCAGGATGCTGTCTGTTTCTGGTTATAGCTCTCCACTCCACTCATCTCTCCTCCCACCCCAGGGAGCACCTTGTTCTGGACTCTAACCACTTGCTGTCTCTTGCCAGAGGCCTGGGGCTCTCTTTGGTCTTAACTTCTTGAAAGCGGAACCATGTCTTATCTGCTCCCTGGCCACTGGGCCTGGCATGCTGCAACCACCAGGATGGCCTCTCACAAGGGTGGTGACACCTTCCATACCAGGGCAGGACTCATTTGTTAATTTTTAGTGTGGCAACCATATTTTTCAAACTAGCTTTGTTTGTAATTATGACGGGCCTATTTGTAACCAGGCATAACACTCTATGATGTAATAACTAGGCATTCGTTTAGCAGGAATTTGTTGAGCCCCGAGTGCAGGCACGGTGTTAGATATGTAAAGATCAGCCGTCTGTATCCTCTTGCTGTAGCTGCCCACTGGTTCACAGGGGCCAAGCGTGCAAATGGAACAGTACATGTGGAGTTGAGACGTGCAGCCTGGTGCCGGTCTCTAACAGTCCCGACAGAGTTGTCTGGGGGTGCAGGTAGTGATGCTTAAGGTTGAAGAAGGCTAAAGAGGGAGGCGACTCTGTCCAGGGACAGCCAGGCTTTTGGTTTCGAATGAGGGGATTTATTAAGTATAAAGTGAGCAAAGGCAAAAGAGCAAACAGCAAGGAGCAGACAGATGGAAGTAACATCCGATCAGGGGGCTCATGACATTTGGCAGAGGTGACTGGGGATGGTTTACTGAAGAAGTCACGAGCGAGGTCCCGACTGGAAATTCCTAGGCAGAGTGGGGTGGGCTTCCTGTGGGTGAGCTTCCACCTTCTGGTTCCCACTGTGGGCATTTTTACACCTCAAGATAAACATGGTGACCTTAGTCAGATGGCCGTACCTACCAGGTGTTCTCAAGAATGCGATGCTGTTTAACACACTCAGCTGTTGGCTTGTCCCCTACTTCCCTGTTCCAGGACCAGGGCACCTGTCTGTTGGCAGAGAATTCCTTTCCAAGTCTTCCCAGGTTTTATATGGATTTAGCTAGTACATGTTG